GTGGAATACCTCATAGTTGACCCAGTAGGCCTCGTATCTGCCATTACTGCCACCAGGGACAGGGTCATTCGGTACCCTGGTGGGCGATTGATGATGCAGCAGCTGCGGCGTCTCCGACAGCGAGCATTGTGCCTTCTGCTGCTGCTGCATGGACTTCAACGCGTGTTTTTCCTCTCGGATGATGGTGAGCAGCATGTGCAGCTCGTTTCGATCGAAATAGGGATTCTGTAAATAGGCCTTGACAACGGTCTTCTCGTTGTCAATGTCAAACTGACGCATGGTCAGGCGTCGGTGCTTGTTGCGCAGCTCCTCGATGCGCTGCTGGGTCAGTTCCTCGCCGAATTTTGTGTACGCCTCGTGGATGAGGGTCTGCACAGTTTGCGTCTGTGAGCGTTCCATCTTGCGTTTGTCCGTGGAAGGCGGCACTTGATAGTCGGGATTGTAAATGCCCTCCAGATAGTTTTGCAGCACCAGCATGGCCTCGCCATCGTCCTGGCACTTGAGCAGCTTGTCGCGATTCCATTCGATGATCTGCAAAGCCACCATAAAGATGATCTTGGCGCCCTCGTAGAAGAAACAGTCGAGTATGTGGAGCGAGCTCTCATAGCTGATTACGCTCATGAAGATGGTGAGGAACCACGAAATGGAGATCATTTTGATGACGCCCAGCTGCTCCAGATGCTCGTGCAGATCGGCCAGATGAGTTTCGACCAGTTCATTGAGCACGCCCTGATCAATCTGTGCCCCCACCACCTTGTCCTTGTAGTAGTCCGGCAAGAGGTTCTCGCACAGGCTGGCCAGCATCCAGAAGGCGTTCTCTTCGTCGCAGAACAGCAGGAATACCGACGAGACAATGTTCATGGCCTGGCAGTAACCCACCTGCGGATTGCGCAGGGCATAGGCTTGCAGGACGCGCCTCAGTGCGCCAATGCCGTCTGTGCTCTGGAATGCCGGATGCTCGGGCAGTGAACGGGGCAGATCCCTGTCGATTTCGTCGTGAGCAAAGCAATCCTTAATGCAGGCAGCCTTCTCCACCAAATCCTCGTACAATCCGGGATTCATTTCCTTGTCGTGAATGGCACCGGAGAAGATCAACCAAATCTCCTGACGCAACTGGTCCGGAATGCCCTCCACAATGAGATTTATGACATCGGTGGTGCGGAACATGCCAATGCCGCGTCCAAAGTCACGGAAATGCGCCTCCCAACGCACCATCTTCTCCTCCTGATTCCTGATTATTTCTGAACTGAACTGTGTCTTGAATGTGTTCATCAAGGCTGTCTGCTTGCTCCAGGAGATGTCGTACTTGGCACGTTCCCGACTCACGGGACTGCAACAGATAATCGTATTGTGAAATGGCGTCTTATTCGAATTTAAAAGGGGCGGCACAACTTACACATGAATGCGGGAGAGTAGATCTGTTATTTTTGAGATCAGCACCTCTCTATCGACGATCTGGGCAAACATGAAAGGCACATTCTCCGACGTGATGATGACAATTTGATTGTCAAAACGCTGCTGCCCATCGTCCTTCTTTTCCACACTCTGCAGTATAAAAAAAACAATGAAACCATGCTGCAGTGAAGCACAGGTTCTCCCCTTACCTTTATTGTTTTCATGGGTATGACCACACTAACCAAGTCCTTGACATCGCTGCGAAAGCAAAAGAAATTGGGCGACAAATATATGTAGCCAGCATTAAACCGCTTCGAGTAGGGTGTCCAAATGTTTGCCTTGATCTTCCCATCGATTATCTCCGTTTGGGGTAAGCGGAAATAAATGCGAAACTCCTCGGACTTCTGGCGGGCTGTCAGATCCCTGAGCAGAACCGGTTTCTTGGATGATTTAGCGCCCAGTCGGGCAAAGTTCGACGGATCATGATCGACCACTGGACTCTCTGGATCCTGGATCAGCTGTTGTATGGCCATTTTGTTGAGCTGCTCGATCAGCAGATGTGCCTCGCCGGCATTGAAGATCAGCGTAAAATTGTATGTCATATTGTTGGTGGTCTTCAAGTAAATCGTATTTGCATTCCGACTGATGTCCTCCAGCTCGGCAAAGCGTATTATCCTCTTGACCTCATGACCCAGCATATACGAGTAGAAGCAGACGTGATTCAAAGAGATGTATAGCTGACCCTGACGCGGTATCTTGTTCTTCACATATCTGGAATGCAAAAAAACCCAATTAAGATTCGGTTCAAAATGTGTCGCAGTCTTCCGGTAAGCCTTACGTGGCCGAGTAGGAGTTGACCAGACGCTCTTCCTCCGGCATTTTGAAGGTTTGTCTAAACTGAGAGGTCATCACCTTGAAGTCGGCCGTTTCGCCAGTTTCATCTTGATTATTTTGTGTGTAGAGCGATTTGATTTTGCATATAGTAAAGTTTGTAACCTCGTCCTCGTTCTCCATTTCGTTGAGCACATTGAAGAGATTCGCCTGCAGCCATTCCCAGTCCTTTGCAATCTCATCCTGCGTTATTCCAATGGCGATTTCTATGGGGTTCAGGAATTTGTATTCCATTATAAACGAAGCTGTGTAATCTCATTTGTTTTACATTACATAAGAGAATCTTGGAGCCGTGGGTGAAAAACAATGATTTATATGGGGCCCCTGGCTGTATACAATACACCCATAAAAACCACAGAAATCAACGCCAGGCCATGACTCATATACCCGCCTCTGCCGCACATGGCAAGGCACTGATAAGGTGGGACACCGATTCCATTCCCAATGCACTTGAACCTACCGTAAGAAACTTCCGAGGACGGTGTCCGGTGTACAATGCGATACGGAGCCGGCTTGGTGTTCCAAACACTGTCGTAGGTGCCCACCAGCATGGACCCAAAGCCGCGCGACTCGCCGTGGCCGCGACGTTTCTGTAGCACGAAGTACCTGGAGTACATTTCGGCAATCCTGTTGGGGCAGAAAATGGGAGTAAAAAACCAGATGCAATTCGAAGGGAAAGGGGGGGCGGCATTGGTGGCATACAGCATTCATGATTATATGTGTGTGTGCGTGAGTTCTTCGGGTGGGTTGGGTGTTTTTCTACGCAGCACGAAACACAGTTGGCAATCAATTTTCAAGCTACCGAGTCTCTGCACTCGGCCGCCGGGTGTGGGCACAGCTGTTTTTCCGCAGGAAATTGCGTTGTGAAATCAGAGCAGAATCCAATAGGCTGCCGCAGAGCCGCCATGGCGACTTGAACCCTCTCAATTAGTTATCAACAAAGAGCGCCAACACAATTAAACAAATCAACATTCGTTTATGCGTGGCCTCTGTACGCGAGTTAAGGCACTATTCTTATTGATGTGCATCGCGATCAATTGTTTTCATGATACACCTTCCATAAACATAACACTGCATACACACGCATACATACCAGCACTCTAGTTGGTGTTTAAATTAGGCATCGGCATCTCGCCACACCACCCCCCCACCGACCAAAGACAAGAAAAGGGATTGGAACACTTACCAAAACGTCGACGGCAACAGCAACTCCTTCGGCTCAATCCACATTTTGCTCTTGTTTAGCCTATTTGACGGCTAGCACAGTCGAAGAAACAAAATTTCGTCTTTGTTTAATACTGCATTCGTTTATTTTGTTGTTGTATGCATCGTGACTGACCCTCAGAAATATACCAAAATATACCGTAAATACACCGATGAAAGAACGAACTTAGCCCACTTAAGCCCCCTTTGTTTAAACTGGATAACAACTTGAGTTATTCCGAGAAAAATAATATCTATAATAATAATTCCTCTTGTAGGACAATCCTATCCTTCATTTTTGCATAAAAAGCTGCGCTAAAATTCTTCAAAATTCACCATTTTCGTGGAGAGTATTTTAATACCCATTGGTCGACAATGGGTTAATCGTTCCCTGTCAATGTTTTGATATTCGGTTGAATATAAACTAGCTAAATGCGACCCTTAGCCCTTAAAACATAATTTTATCCGATTGAATCCTTTCCTATAAAACATCAAAAACGATAAGTGACACTCATTCAGGGGACTCCTGAAATGCAATCAACAAAGAACATTAATACAGGTGGCGTTCCACTTTGAGCAAGGCAGTGAGATCAGATGTAAAAACCGAACGGGAAACTCATATGTATATTGAGAGCGAAAAAATGGTTAATACGGCATGACTACATATTTCTGGCATGGTGCAAAATGTAAACAACCATTTAGTCCGACATTCATATTTTCAAGAGTACGCCTACTGTTACTATTAATTTTTCTGAAGTTGGCGCATTGTTCGAATTTTTTTCTGTGCTCAGTAAGCCCAAACCTAACGGTTAATGTCAAACTTAACCTTTTTCATTATTCGTGTCGTGTATCTGAATCGAAACGAAATAAAAACGTGCCGTGCTACAAAATTTTGAGTGAATATTTACATTTTACCAAATTATCTGTGTTCTTTAGCAAAAATGCTTAAGAAATTCGTCGAAGTTAATGCGGAGGAGAGCCCCTCGGCCAATCCGTACGAAGTGCGGACCTACATGGGCAACGAGACTCAGGGGCCCGAATGGAACCCCGAGAACTGTCCGCCCCGCGAACGTGTGTGCCCAAAAAAGCCCCCAAACTCTACACTATCACAAGTCCTCACCATCGAGGATGAGATTCGCCGCATCCACCAGAAGGCGGAGGAGTCGCGTTTCGTGCGCCCCGCCAAAAAGAAGTGCGACCTCTACGATGAGTTTACCATGTGCGTGGTTCCGCAGCGAACACCGTCAGAGCTGAAAACCCATGCCGAGATGCGTGAGCATCTGTTGTTGGCCCGCAAGGACTTGGGCCTGGTCGAGCACGATGCGCGGTCTCAACGAACCTGCCCCAAGGATCTTGTTGTCCTCAACAGCCCCATGAACCTTGGCGAGGAGGAGGAGGCCCAAGAGGGCGAAGCCGGCGAGGAGGAAGAGGGAGAGGTGAAGCCACAGCAGGCATCTCCCGAGTGCAGCTCGAATATGATCATCATACCGGATAGGCGCATGGTGAGCTAATTCTATATAAATAATTGTATTTTTATTATGGCTGGACTCTTAGGCCAACAAAAGCGTGGCTTAAATGTAGATTTAAGATTAGTTTTGGTAATTCCTATTCGATCAACTCTATGTCATCAATGTCCGCGTAGATACTTCCCGGCGGTAGCTCCGGCATGGAGTTGAGCCCCTCGTCAGCCCCTCCTTCAGTGCCTGCCGCCAGCGAAAGTGTGCTATAGGCACCGCTCGTGGCCTGCTGCTGCATGTGCACGCCTAGCTGTGAGATCAGCTCCAGGGCCTGTATGTCTGAGTTCATCAAAGCGAATTGGTGGATGATGGCCAGGTGGGGGAACACTCCGTTGAGTAGAGTGGTGGTTCCGGCATTAATTTGCATGCTGTCTGAAGGATCCTCCCCTGGTGGGTCTTGATCTGGGTGGTCCGTGGCATCAGGCGAGGCAGCCGGTGAGAGCAGTACACTAGGTTCACAGGTGACCTCCTCCACATTGTCCTCGTCAAAGCGCTCTGGCCCTGTGTCGGACATCAGGCTGTTCTCACTCGATAGGTTGACCAGGTCCTTGCTGGTATCCCCATCGGCTTCCAGCAGCTCCCTTTGCATGAAATTGGGCAGTGAATGCTTAAACTCCACAATGATCTCCTCGACAGGCAGCTCCTGTGTTACACTATCGCTTCCCTGATAGCCCAACTCATCTGCCTCGTACTTGTACTTGCTGCGGAAGCGATTCAGCCAGCGATACGATGGCCGAAAGCTGGGCAGGTTCAGCACGGCCGCCATCTTCAGGGACGTCTCCTTCAGCTTCTGGTTGCGTATACTAATGCTCAGGCGCAGCTGGCGGCAGCGTTTCACCCACTCGTGGAGCAGAAAGCTGATGGCGCTCATCTCGAACTTGCGACGCTTTCGCGTCATCTCCTCGATGATGGTGGAGGCATCCGCCTCGCTAAGCGTGGCCAATTGCTGCAGCAGCTCCTGCTTCTTGTCCAGAATGCGTCGGATCTGCGTGGCACAGCAATGGAACATCTTGGCCAGGCTGTTTCTGGAAATGTTTGTCTCATCGTAATAGCGTATAACGGCGATCTTCTCGTAGAAGGTCAATATGTTGCGCTCGTTGCGACGGGATTTGGGCTGCGGAAAGAAATTGAAGTTTGGATCACCCTTTCGATCGATTTACGCACCCGTTAATTAAAAACATCTCCCTGAGCAATGCAATAAAATATGCATGTTTGCAAATACATACACACACACAAATGCATGTGCCACACTGGCCGCGTATTTGTCTGGCGACCGCGTGTGTCATAAGCAAATGTCCCGTAAACCAACCCTCGGAGCGGCTTAAAGGCCAAGTTAAAGCAGACGCGTCAGACTTACCCCTTTGTGGCTATTGACTGTTGCTGCTGCCATGGCTGCCATTTCAATTGCAATCAATTTTATTTTGTTTCTTTCCTATCCTTTCCTTTCCTTTCCTAAGCACTCTGCCTTTAGTTCACCGTTTTTTCCTTAACTGCGCAGCAGTAAAAGCAAAAAGCCAATTGCGCTTCTTATTGCCGCCGCTCTCGCATCCAAAGGAGAAGCAGAGAGCGTGCAAAAGAGAACCAGAGAGTGGGATTGACTCCTTTTAAGACTGAAAAGAGAAATAAAACAATTATTTATTTGTTCAATCCAAATGCCAAAGCATTGTTAGTCACTTTTATTTGTTGGTTTGCCTCTCAACAAACGCGGGGCGACACGTAGCTGCGCTGCTTCTATTGGCCTATTGTTGTGTGTGCGCTGACATTTTTACAATTACTGAGTAATAACACTTGTGCCCCTGTTTTTTTACGGTTTCAGCTTTCAGTCATTCTGTCTGCCTGCCTGCCCTGCCTGTGTGTACGTTTGTACGTTCTGCTGGCTCTCGGCTCTCCATATGAAATAAAAACGGTTCGCTATGCCCACAGCCACGACACGAGAGTCTTGTCCCTGTCGCTGCGTTGCTTCGTTGCTGCTGGCTCTGTTGTTGTAGCAACGGGCGTCAGAAATGCGGCAAAGAGGAATGATAGGCAGGGCAGCGTCGTTGTCGTCTCACTCACACAAACGAACACTCGCACCTTTATATGTTTGTATGAACGTAGATACATTTGCAGCTGTTACTGTTGTTGTTTTTGTTAGCACTGGGCATATTGCATATGCATGCATGCATGCGTGTGTGTGTATGTGTGTGTATATGCAGTGTGCGGCCTCTTTCAACGCTGGCGTAGCCGCTGTTGCTGAATTTTTCGTTTCATTTGCGTTTTTCCGCGTGTTGTTTGTTGTTATGTTTCGATTCTTTTCTAGGGGCGGGGGCGCGAACGGGGGTCGCACTTATAGAGTGGTGGTGGGTGAAGGATATGCATCCGTACGTGCTTAATTTAACAATAATTAAATAGCATTGACACCAAGAAAGGAAGGAAAGCTTCGGGTGCGGAAGCTTTTGATATGTGCATCACCCATTGTTTGACGATGATATGATATTGACATCGGATTTTATCTTATTTACTTTGGTTATGTACAAAAATACACATAAAAGTGCAGTTTTCAACGTTTGTATGTTTTATTTTTATTTTGACCTATCGTTACTATGGAATCTATGTGATACAGTGATCCCTTTAGTTGCTTTCCAAAGGTATCAATAGGACCGACATTGGCGACGGACGCTGATCAGCAATACAATACAAACCCTTAACAGGGTGGAAAACGCATCCTTCTCGTGAGCTTCAAAATCATAATACCCTCAATGCAGTGTGTATATCTGCAAAGTTCTTCGGTCGCGTACACCTTTAGTCCGTAGAGCACTTACTAAGCTAATTAACTTTCCGCCGTAGATAAGGCCCCTGGAAAGCAATGTGTGCGTCGAGGGGTGTGGTGTGTGCTCTCTCCAGACACGAGTATGTAACAATTCGATTGATATTGATAGAAAATACGATTTAATGTTTTATGGGCGTTCCATTGAATGAGCCTTATCAAACAGAATATACGGACTAACCCAGTGAATCATCTGCAGGTGGCATCCAGTCCCCCTATGGAAAGCATGGTCCTACGCCCCTGTGCGCTGCCATTGCATTTCCCTTCTTCAATGCGCTTTGCATCGCCAAGTACTTCTGCGACACAGTGGCGCCGTCAGCATTGTACGAGTGTGTGTGTGTGTGTGTGTGCTGTTATGGCCGCCTTGTTGCAGCTACAATGCTGGTGCTGCTGTTGCTGCTGCACCTGCATTTAGCCAACGATTTCAAGCCATCTTTGTGTTGCCTATTCGCTTGCAGCGTCAGCATCTCTTTGGAAACTACTCCATCCATTCTCCCAGATTCCTGGATGAATTCTAATTCATCAAATGCCCCCTAACCGGACGGGGCGACACGTGCGCCTGATTGGCCTAGCCTTGCCTTGGCGCTTGCTTTATTTTTATTGATTTTAAAAACGGACTTTCATTGACTCTTCGATTATGGAAGGGCCCCCGCAGCTGTACTGGACGGGATACCAAACACCTGCTGTTGTGTGCCCGATCTTCCCCCGTCCTTACCCCTTAAGGTTATGTACGTACCCGGTTTGGTATTTGGCCAAAACGGAGAGCGGCAACAGAGAGCTTGGAGAGGGTTGCGTTCGCTGCGTTCGCTGCGTTGGTTTTGTCTCTGGCGGCTCTTGGCTCTTGCTCTTGCTGTCTCTGGGGTTTGCTTTTGGGCCAACTTGTTGTTGGGAATAGAGCAGCAGCAGCAGCAGCAGCAGCTACTACTAAGTGGCTTGTGGTCGTATGTGTGCTGACGGTGTTGGCATTTGTGCGCTCGTATTGACGTGGTCGTATGCTATAACTGTGCGGTGATACTGCGTCGGTGATGTGGCTATGGCTATGGCCTCACTTTGCTGCTTTGCTGCTATGCTGTTTTCTGTTTGCTGTTGCTGTTGCTGTTGCTACGAGTACGAGTACCATCCGTAGTACGGGGCCTACTATTAGATGACTTGTTCTTCGGGCCGCCACGACTTCCCACGACGAGCTTCGGTGTGTGGGACTCGTGTTGCGGTTTCGGTTTTCAGTCTGGGGGTTTGGTTTTGGTTTGGCCGAACTGAACCGAACCGAACGAGAGCGATAAGATTCCGTGATGTGGCACTAAGCGCTGTTCGTTGTTTACTGCTGCTCTGTGCATTTGTACGCGAGGCCGGCTGCTTGTGGCCGTCAGCAGTCAGCCAAGCAGTGGCCAGCGAGCCATAGAGGTGCCTCACACACACACACACAAGCACATACTGACAGGCACTAGCACACACACACACACACAAACACCTACGGATGGATAGACGGTAAAACGGTTGACGAGAGCCAAGCCACATCACACAGGTCGTTATAGCCAGTCTAGTTGGCATTTCGTGCCATACCTTATGCCGCTTACTAACCAAGACAGAAAGAAAAAATAAAACAGGCCTCCCTCTCTCTATATCTCCTCTATATATATATAAGAGTGTCGTACATACATATATATAGGGACTGGCATCGGTGGCGTATGCGTGCTATTTTCAGCGTAGCCACTTCGAATGCCGCATTAAAAGCTTATGACCACGGCCAGGAGTGACAGACAGAGAGAGTGAGAGTGCACAGAGCTTGCGGAGTGGCGATAGCCAGCCAGATGTTACCATTATTATCCTGTAATTACTAACTCCTTCACCTTCCTCTTGCCCTCCCTTTGCTTCCCCCCTAAGCTGGAGCTTAAGCGCCCCAAGAGTCGCATTTACCTGAACGAAACACAAGTGGGTCCCCTGGAGGAGCTGCCATTTCCCACGTACAATCCCCGGCTGATTCAGGAGGGTCTCGATGGTGAGAACCTAAAGGCCTTCGATCTGATTGAGGGCTGCAATCCGCAAGATCTATGGACCTGGAATGTGGGCTATCAGAAGCATGAGGAGGATATCGATCAGGAGTTTATCACAGCCTCACTGCCCAAATACGGTGTGTACTCACACAGCGGACTGTCCTTGCTTCCCGAGTAGTTCTCATTCGACTAGTTTCCCCCAGAAAACGACGGAGAGCTCACCGTTTATAATATACCCACGGATCTGGATACCACCTTCAAGGCGGAGATTGTGTACGGCAATCGAAATGTCTTCCCGGAGAAGCCGAAAGAAGCGGGTCGACCGAGGTGAGGCACAGGCACAGCTGGGTTTCGTGTGACTTTTAAGCCGCAAATCGTTATATGCCCTGCCCTCCCATTAGATACTATAATCGACCCAGTGAAATTGCCTGCATTATTGTAGCCTATGTGGAGAGCTTTCGCCTGAATCCCGACTTCTGGACGGGCAGCACCTTGGATGGTATACTGAAACGAGGCTTAAGTCTGACCAAAAAGAGCATCTCCATGAACTACAAGGCCGGCGAGTTTTGCGACTTTGACATTATACCGCAGGTGAAGGAGCGCGAGGCCGAGGTGGACATCAAGATCCATTTCTCGGGGCTACTCAGGAATGAGCCGAACATGTTCAAAGCCCTCTCGCTGTTCTTTACCAAATACAATGCCTGCATCTTTGTGTCGCGCGAGCTGTTCCTGCTGATCTGCAAGCGGTGCCTCAACTCGTACTTCGTCTTCGATCCGAACGGGCGGAACGACATGTGCCTGCGTGACTTTGCGGAGGGCAAGTGTTCGCTGATGGCCACCCGCTACACGGAGCATCTGGTGCATCTGATCACCAAGTTTAGTGACCTCCAGCCGCAGGATGAGTTCAGCATATACGAGATATCCCTGACGCAGTACGGAAAGCTGAAGGGTGAGCCGCTGAAAAAGGACCCCAACAACCTGGTGGCCCACAAGCTCTGGGCCGTGGTGAACGAGCATTTTGCGGTGAAGACCGCCGGCGAGGGGGGTATCCATCAGCCCATATCGGGCAACGAGAAGAACGGCTCGCTGGTCGTCTCGCTGATAGCCCTGATCTACGCGGAGTTCGAGCTGGCGAAGCTCTGGCGACCGATGACCATCGACGACATCATCCGCTATGGCATGGCCTACTACAAGACGCTGCGCAAGAAGTTCCGGCTGGACGGCAAGCGGTGGAAGAACAAGAAGCCCCATCTGAATGTCGTCGATCTGCCGGAGATGTTCCTCATGGGCGCCTTCAAGGCGACTGTGCGCAAGCAGCCATTTCTGATCAACGGCCATGTGGCCGACTGCAAGAGCTACCTGGACTCGCAGCTAACGATGGCCTTGCATCAGCTATTCAACATGCCCCAGTGGCCGGCGGGGCTGCTGCAGATCGACAATTCGGTGCTGGGCATCTGGCGGGACAGGGAATTCTTCTACGTGTTCGATCCGTTCCGGCGCAATCGCACCGCCATGGTGATAGATCCGGATGACTATCGGATCAAGGGCTCGGCCGTGCTGCAGATGCACTCCACCTTCGACTCCTTCTGCCGCGTGCTGTACATGAATGCCCTGAAGATGCGTCGCGGTGGCAAGTTTTTCATCCACGGCATACGCACCGGCTGCATCCGACCGCTGCAGGTGATGACGCAGAAGACGAACAAGTTCCAGGCCCTGCAGATGGGGCTGCCAACGTTCACGGACGAGCCGCCAGAGCCGGAGCTGAAGCAGAAGAAGAGCATCGAGAGCATACCCGACGAGGAGCGCTTCCCAGTGCAGGAGGAGAAGGAATGGATCGAGGAACTAATCAATGGAATTATCAACGACATCATCAAAGCCCTGCCCGACCCGGCGATGCAGCGGCCGCACCTCTATCCGCAGGCCCAGAAGGTGCTGGTGCGCACCGACAAGGAGAATCTGCGCGCCCTGCGGCTGAAGATCAAGCGGGGCTATGAGCTGGACGCTGCGGACGAGGAGGAGGAGAAGCGCGTGCTCACCCTCGAGGAGGAGGTGGCGCTGAGGAGCAACTTCCAGGCCCTGCCGGACGGCGCCTGGATAATCGCGGGCTCCACGCAGCTGCCGCAACTAGACGAGGAGATGGCCAAACTCGGCGGCCTCCTGTCCGCCATGGTGGCCATGGCAGTGTCCGCCAAGTACAAGCTCTCTACATGGAACGCGGACCTTATCGAATTCTCGCTGGAGTCGGCCAACAGCTTTGGCGAGGATTACCAGAACTACGAGTACATCCTGGCCTGTCTGCTGTCCAAGAAGCTGCCGGACATCGCCATCGGTGACAGCAGCTTCAGCCTGGAGGTGCCCAAGGTGGTGAAGTCCTCCATTACGGTGCCGCTGCGGCAGGTGCTCGTGGATCTGCTGACCAGCTACAACCGCCTGCTGCTCGTGTGCCAGCGCTTCTCCTGCGTGATCTTCAAGCGCTACAATTTCCTGTACATGTTCATCGGGTTCCCCTGCAGTGCCGTGGGCTACCGCAAGGGCGGCTCCGGTCCCGCCTGCTTGCTGCGCTTCCTGGAGTTGGACGCGCTGATCAAGCGGATCGAGTTTGGGTGCAATCCCCTGGGCTGTTCGGTGATGAACTTCATTGTGGCCGCCATCAAGGTCGTGGACAATCATCTGGAGGGACGCTTCCGGCGCTGGCCAAAGGCCGATGAGGATGCCGAGTACAAGCAGCTGTCGGCGCGACAGAAGAAGCTGCGTGACACGCGGTTGGAGAAGATGCGCTTCATCGATGAAGAGCTGAAGAAGGAGAACGATCGCATCCAGAAGTTCCTCAAGGCAAAGCAGGAGCATCGTGACCGCAAGAAGAAGAAGCGTAAGTATTCCACGACTCTGCTGTCACTCGAAATTGTATCGAAAAATCTACCCACCCACACCCCACAGGCATCCCCGCCTACCGGGACACTGGCATTGACGAGGGAGGCGAAGAGTTCATGGAGGAGGAGGATCTGGGCATGGAGGAGGAAGAGGGCGAGGAGGAGATCGAGCTGAAGCATCGGCCGGGCAAGCAGCTGCCCAAGGAGCTGAGTCGCGCCTACCAGCCGCGGCCCATCCTCTACGGCTACCGCATGCGGGAGAAGGACTGCAACTTCAAGATCCAGGGCAGCACCGCTCTCGACGGCCGTGGCGAGGGCTCCTTCAAGGAAATCAAGCCCTGCTACTTTGCCTCCGCCCTGGCCATCCTCAGCTGCTCCATGCGTCCACTGAACCGCTGGAACTCGTATCGGGTCGATCGGGTGATCTCGAATGCCAAGGCCATAGCCGCGACTGTGTGCGAGCTGGAGTCGGTCTTCGAGCGGGTCGTCCGTCATGTGACGGTGGATGACTACGAGTTTGACATCTGGATCCGCGGCTTCGAGCCGGCGGGCGTTCCGGCTCCGGCTCCGGCCAAAAAACAATATCCCGCGGGCCTGGCCCTCAACATTTTCAAGAAGAAACTGGAAAAGTCGCTGCACACGCGGAAATATCTGCTGATCTTTACACCGAACGGCAGCTATGCGCTGTACCATGACGAGTACTTCCATCTGTTCGATCCGTATGGCAGCATGGAGAAGTCCGGCGGCGGCGAGGAGGAGGAGCAGGAGGGCGACGAGGAGGGAGGCAAAAAGAAAAAGTGCCCCAAGGGACCCAAGCGATATCCAGAGCGCAATACCGCCTCTTGGGTGCTCCTCGGGGACATGGACGCCCTGATCACGTACATTGACGAGCGGTGCAGCGCAAAGAGCTGGAAGGAGACGTGTCAGTACAAGTTCTATGTGGTGGACATACTTTCGCACAAGAAGGCCGCACCGAATGCCCGCATCCTGCAGCTGCTGACGGACCTGTCCATACCGATGACCTGCTCGAACAAGCACTACGGCAGTCCGGAGTACGAGATCTGTGCTACCAACGAATCCCTCGGCTGGCTGGAGCTGGAGAACTGCCTGCCCGTGTGGAGCCGCCTGAATCGCCGCAACACGGCCGGCAAGTATCGCAATCTGCCGGTCAGCAAACTCAAGAAGTTCGACGTGGAGATCGAGGGACGGCTGTGGTCGCTGTGGGGCAACCTGCATCCGGAAGCGCCTGTGTTCGAGGACGAGCTGCGCGGTCGCCAGTACCTGGCCTGCTATGTGATGGCCTGCTGTGCGGCCAGTGTCTACCGGCTGATGGACTGGAGCCCCCACATGCTGGACAACATCGTCGTGAGCGGCACCACGTACTTCAAGGAGAGCGTCCAGCAGATCAACAAGGAGGACTATGAGTTCTCGCTGGAGAACCTCAACATCGACTGCGCCATGGATGCCATCAACTTTGTGGTCCACATCGAGCACGTCTGCTATGGCAAGCTGTACCGCGTGCCCACCTTCAATCGGATGAATCTCGCCGAGGCGCTGATATACTTCTTCAGCCACTACCAGTACGGCATCGTGATGGTGCGCAAGCGGGCCCTGGCCATTGGCTTCTGTCCGGGCCACGATGGTGGCTACTTCATGTACGACTGCCAGGAGAAGGACCATCCGCTGTTCCCCAAGCAGCAGGGGGCCGCCTATATGCTGCGAACCCGCCACCTCCAGGTGCTCCTCTACTGCATCGTGGTCACGCTGAATGTGCCCTTCTACAACATTGACTTTACCATCCACAAGGTGGAGATGCTGCGGGAGGGTGCCACTCTGGAGAACGATGAGGAAGGGGAGGAGGCCTAAGGGGATGGGATGGGCTGGCATTTTGGCTCAAAGATTGTTTACAAGTTTAACCATTAAAATTATTCGACACGTTTTGGATTCATACGAAAGAATCACGAGATTCCTAGCACCTCCGTTCTGTACAAATAATCAATTATTTATGCGAAATCTATCCTTTTGGTTACCTGATTGCCAACACCCCTTCACTTCTAGCCGAAACAAACGGGCATTCTCTTCCAAGTCGAAATTTAATCAAATATATAAGAACTATGCTAAAAATGTAACAACAAGCGGATGACGCAAGCCGCTCGATGCCGTCATCCCGTGATTGAGTCACGGGCTGTTGGCTGTTGGCTGTAGGCTGTAGGCTGGTCGTGGCATGCCATGACCTAATGCCTCAGACGCAGCTCCTCCTCGGCCTGTTTGTAGTGGTAGCCATCGGGGCGGAGCTCGTGGGCTGGCTCTGGCTCTGCCTCGGCGTCCGTGGGTGCCATTGGCTGCTGCACATCCATGTAGTAGGGCATCTGCTCGTCCAGCATCTGGGGCTGCTGCTCCTGCTGCTGCTGCTGCTGCTGCTGTTGCTGTTCCTGCATCTGCATCTGCTCCTGGTACTGCTGGTAGGTGAGCTGCTGGGGCTGTTCCGATGCTGGTGCAGGGGGTAGGTAGCGGCTGGCAACCTGTGGCTGCTCTGGCTGTTGCTCGGGAGCCATCATCTCCATCTGGGGCTGCTGCATCATCAACGGCTCTGAGAGCTGCTCCATCTGGACCTGGGCCTGGGCTGGCGGCAGATAGCGGGAGGAGAGCATGGCATCCATTTGCTCGGTCTCCAATGGAGCGGGTGGTGTCAGCAGGCTGCTGGGCATGGCTTCCATCACTCCCTGCTCGTTCTCCCGCATGTACTCCACCTGCTCGGGCAGCTCCCGCAGCTCCTGCTGCTCAATGCTCATCGAGACGGCGTGCTCCGGCTTTGGTGGCGGCAAGTAGCTGCTGGGCAAATGGGAGACATCCGCGGCGGCCAGGCAGGCCAGGCACAGGGCGATCGTCAGGCAGAGGGATCTCTGCGGGACGCAAGTACATCGTAATTACATTCCCATTTGGAAGGACGGCGACTACAACCCGTTCACTTACCATCTTGCTGGTGTTTGTCTGTTGGTTGCTAAGCGTCTGATGTTGGACCAGGTGGAAGTGAAGCTATATATACCGTCGCATGAGACCTTCGGTGGGGCCTAACGTTGAACGTTTAACGTTTAACGTCAAATATTTGGCTAAAAGCCTGGTTCCGTTATTTGCCTATTCGATCGTTGATTTGTCGTCGAATTTCGCGCATCTTATCAAACAACAGTCCAGCAAACACAAACATTCGAATCTTTGAGTAATCGATGGTTGGAATATTGAGCTGAATCATCGCCACTGGCCATCGCCAAGCAATACCAAACCAAACCAAACCCAACCAAACCAAAACCAAAACCAATCCCATCCGATCCGATCCAAGCCAAAGTGATGCTTCAATTGGACTTGGTTTAAGCTGCTTTTGGCATCTTTTTCCCTACCTCCCTCCCTCCATTGGACGCGGACAGGTGCCACTTGACGGGGCGTTTGACAATCTGAATTGCGCTTCAAATCTTCGTCTCTCGAGGCGTATAAACTGGAGCATGGCTCCAGCAATGGGGTGTGGAGTAGTTGCCCAAGGTTCCCATTGAAGTCTCTTTTGCACACTTTATCTCTCTGGGGGCTTGGCCTTCCCTGAGAGAATTCACGGTCAACAGCAGCAGCAACAGCAGCAACAGCAGCAGCAGCAGCAACAGCAGCAGCAGCAACAGCAGCAGCAGCAGCAACAGCAGCAGCAACAGAAGCAGCAACAGCAGCAGCAACAGCAACAGCAACAGCAGCAGCAACAGCAACAGCAACAGCAGCAGCAGCAACAGCAACGGCAGCAGCAGTAACAGAAGCAACAGCAACAGCAGCAGCAGCAACAGCAGCAGCAGCAGCAGCAACAGCAGCAGCAGCAACAGCAGCAGTAACAGCAGCAGCAGCAACAGCAGCAGCAGCAACAGCAGCAGCAGCAGCAACAGAAGCAGCAGCAGCAACAGCAGCAACAGCAGCAGTAACAGCAGCAGCAGCAACAGCAGCAGCAGCAACAGCAGCAGCAACAGCAACAGAAGCAGCAGCAGCAGCAGCAACAGCAACAGCAACAGCAGCAGCAGCAGCTGAGGAAGAGCCTGATCGGGGGGCCCAAACGTAAAAATGCTCCCCAAATGTTATGGAAATCCTTGCTTTTCCCTAAAAACACTCTACTGGGGGAATCCAATGTTCGTTTCAATCAATCTAGTTTTCGAGGTGGAAAAACTCAGTCGGTACCCGCACTTATAGCCATTCCTGGATACAGACTACATATTCACACCAGTCGATGCTTCACTACTCACATTCCCGAAACTTTATATTTTTATTTTCGCGAATTGGTGGATACGTTTTTGTCTGATTTATAAACCAGTAGTCAGTATGTTCAGCTGTTCTATATGCGACCACAGGAAGATTGCACTGAGCACTGAGCCGGAATACGAGTTCCGGCGCCGGAAGAGAAACTCCGAAGAGATGGAACTTTACGGGGTCTCGAACTATTGTAGTGAATGCCAGTTGGTCACCTTCTTTGTCAATCTCGTGAACTTTGAAGGCCCTCTACGAGGATCATTGATGTGGAAAATTCTATGGGCTGCTGCAGAAAATGTGGGGAAAATGCCGTTGCAGGTGAGTGTGTTCCGAGGCTGTTCGGCTGCCGCCTAAAGTCCAATTTACTTTGCCAGAAATCGCAGGACGCGGGGGTCCAAACGAGAGCTCTAGAGATCGACAACCCATTCGTGATTGTTATGGCGCCGCCAGCGTCCCGGGAGATGATTGGCCATCAGGAAAAAGAAGCAGAAGAGTCGTCTGTTGGTTTCAGCGAAACCGATACGCAGTTCGATAAGGTCATAAAAAACATTCTGAACACATCCTCTGACACCGATTCAGTTAGCTCCCACAAGGTCGAGGAACTAACGGTGCTCTATCGGCGCCAACCGGAGACAAGACCAGATTACCATAGCTCCACGTGCAGGTCGGTTGGAGTGGACCACGCCAGTGCCCGTCGCATTCCCCCAGCATTACCCCATCTGCAGTGCGAAATGAAGCAAAAAAAGAAGCGACTGGAGGAGCTAGTCACCATTGGACGTCGTCTCGAGGACAAAACCACAAAGCTTCGCATGGAGATGGCGGCCCTGGAGAAGCAGAAGCAGCAGGAAGAGATCTCGGAGTGGCAACGGGAGGCTGATAGCGCTTTGGCCTGCGAAAGCTCGTGGTGGGGCCGCGAGAACCTGAACACGGTTTTCGGTAAGTGGTCTCCGGAGCGAAGGGACAAGAACATGGAAGACCAGGCAAACTTTCTACTGCAGGCCCTCGAGGAGCAGAGTGGAGTCAAGGATAGGGAAAGCGACACAGATTATCGCTCACTAAAAGATGGGAAGACGGAAACTAAGGTACAAGGCACCCACAAATATAGGAGTGGAGAGAACGATCCTCGCTCACGAAAAGATCAGGGTGGAGTAGGGGATAGTCGCTCACTAAAAGATCATGATGGAGTAAGGGAACATCGTTCAAAAAAATACCGAAAAGAAAAGCGTGCACTCATGGATCGTAAGGAAACAGACAACGAAGACAATTGGTCTATGCAGAGTCAATACATAGCATCTATGCAAGCGGAGAAAGATCAGAGTGAAACTAGGGATAATCGCTCACATGGAGACCAGAGTGAAACTAAGGATCATCGCTCACATAGAGACCAGAGTGAAACTAGGGATAGTCGCTCACATGGAGACCAGAGTGAAACTAGGGATAATCGCTCACATGGAGACCAGAGTGAAACTAAGGATCATTGTTCACATAGAGCCCAGAGTGAAACTAAGGATCATCGCTCACATAGAGACCAGAGTGAAACTAAGGATCATCGCTCACATAGAGACCAGAGTGAAACTAAGGATCATCGCTCACATAGAGACCAGAGGGAAACTAAGGATCATCGCTCACATAGAGACCAGAGTGAAGCTAAGGATCATCGCTCACATAGAGACCAGAGTGAAACTAAGGATCATCGCTCACATAGAGACCAGAAACATGAGAGAGCACTCAAGGATAATAAGGAAACAGATAATGAAGATGATACGTCGATGCAGAATCTATACATAAGATCTCCGCCAGCGGAGAAAGTGCATAAAGCTGCTCGGCCAGACACCAACAGCTTCAAGGCCAATGAACATCCTATTAATCCGTTTGCGAGTCCCAGAGAGAAACCCCAGACGCTACAGATCTGCAAGGAACCCATAAACTGTCCCATAAGCGTTGAGTGCCAGGAACGGTGCGTCATATCGGACTTCAGCACTCACGTGCTGTACGATCATCAAAACGTGATGTTGGAGCGGATCGATTTGGGGCAGACCAAGACCTTCCACCTGGATCCGAGGCTCGCGAAGAAGAATATGCCCACGTGCCACATGGTATACTTTGTCAGAGACATGATCATCGATCCTCCGCGAGGGAAAATGCGCGACGTGCTGCCCGTTCTCGTCATGACTGCCCGCATGCATTCTTGTGATGTGTCTACTTCCAAGAGCCCGACCAGCGATGCCTGTCCGGAGGACGACACGCTGCAGTTCCTGCTCATTTGGCTTTGCACCTTCAAGCCCACCAACGTTCGTGTTGTTGGAACGCTTTCCGTTGAGGCCACGTGCGCCTATGTGGCGGACAGCCTGATGGTGCGTACTGCTCGGGCCTACGATATACGGGCGCCCCAGGACATGCGCACCATCTACCGCAGTCCTTCCACCCTGATCATGCCCTACGACTTGGTCCGCCGCATCACCCAGAGAGGCAACCGGTCCCTCACCGTTAAGGTTAAGATTGAGTAGGCAATCATTTGCGCGATTTTCTTGTCCTATTTAATCCGAAATGTTAATGTATTTATGGATTTATTTGGTTGAGTTTTGGACCTTCAAAAGTGCCCTAAAAATAAAAATCTGCAAAAATCTACATCCGATCTAATTTATCGCATTCGACTCAAAATTTGACAAATTGCATCGTCTGGCGTCCATTGGACCCCCTTGGCGGGGTCACTCCAGGGGTCTGTCGGACTCCTTTTTTTTTTAAATAAAAATGTGCTAACCATACAAACGATGCTAGTTTTAATAATATCTTATCATATTCTACACGACTTATACATACATTTTACAATCAAGCCCCAAAAGTGTGCCCCAAAAATTGTGTTGATGTCGAATGTAAACTATCTTGTAGGTTTGATGCTGCCCCGTGTGCACACGGGGTTGCGGCTAGGAAGAATACTACACAGAATCCTACTTCTTCAGATACATCTTTTAGGCGATTCTATTGTATGATTCAAAAACAAAGATCCTTTGATCTTCTAGGATTGTGAAAAATCCTAAGAGCACCTAGGTTTCAGGGAGGTCAAGCACCAGGATTTTGATGTAGCGGAAGATGCTTCCCTGAAACATAATCTCTGCGTGTAATTGATCCGCAATCTAATCGATTGTCAGCACTCGTCTGGCCAACTGATTGACTTCTTCGCCTCCACATCACTCAGTCGCCGACATCGGGAAAAAAATAATATAACGTGTTATGTAAAATTGAAAGTCTTGCTCGTATATCATTCCTAGACTCTTCTGTCGAGTGCCTCTGTGTGGGTGGATTGCAATTGATGATAGTATGAGAGCGTCTCCAGGTCTCCCTCGTTGTCTCCTTGTCTAGTAGAACGATTGTGATTAATGGAGACAGCGTCATTGAACGCGATCCGGCGCCTCATATGCACAATGATCCCCGCCGCCCCATGATGTCATTCGCGAGCGATTGAATGTTGAATGGCATTTGCCAAACGATGCCTCCACTCGCGTCGCGTGGCGTGGCGTGGCGTGGCCCCCTCTCTCCCATTCACTGGAGAACAGTGTCAAGTGAGAGTTTGTGTGGCTGCTGCGGCAGGCGGAAATAATGCCTTAATGAGACAAATGACGCGACTCTGACACATCTGACAGCTTCTAAATACGTGTGAAATTGTCGTGAAATTGATGTTCAATTTTGGACAGCATACACATGTCACATATCATCTTGCAGCCAATGTCACACATATGATAGCTTCTGCGAGTGCTGACGGAATGTTAATCTCACAGAAGAATAACTATAACATTGCTGTCATCTCAAAGACTCTCTCCGCCGCCCAAACTCCACGGAGCTGTCACTTATGGGGCTTCCATTTTGAAGTGAACTTTTGTGGTTCTCCCCCCAGTGTTTGGTTTCTGGTCTGTCTGAGTTCAAAAATAGCTCGGTTTCCACCAAGCATGCCAGAATCTGTTTGTCTGCTCGTTAACGAGTCTTCAGACTGCAAGGCATTCGAGTATTTTGGCACGGAATAAAAATTTGTACTCTCAAGATTTCGGCTGGGTCACACTCGGATCCACAGAGCTTAGGTAGGTATTAACTTTAAACTTGGATAGTGTATCGATCTATAGTCGTAAGCGATGAAAAGTTATTCCAGAGCTCTTCTTAACACGCCATATCGAAGGTACACCACATCAGTATTACGAGTATGGTTATGATACAATTCGATTACACAAATCACATGATGCTTGATTCTATTGTTGCTCAAAGAATGCTGTAATTTCTATAAATAAATTGGGAAATTGTGCAAAAAATTAAATTAGATCGCAACGTATTCGATCAATCAAAGAGATGATTCGCCTAAGACTTCCGCCTGGCATTCCCCCATGCTCCGCTCTGTTGCACTTGACTTTTTATTGTGGTTTATGCATTTTTCCCCCATTGCAGCTGCACTTTATTAATAGTGCTCTTATGACCATTTCAACGAAAGTGGCCCAGTGACATCAGTTGCAGGGGATCTACCGTACTCGTTTAAAATTTGATGCAAAGCCACATTTTCGAGTACTTTTTTTCATGAGATCAGCGTTCGTTAATCACCAGGGAAATGGGTTCAATTTCATATGAGAAATGTTTGCTTTCAAGCCAATAGTCGTTCGACCTCGTGTGTATATATATGTATGTACAGAGATGTGCAATGTTTGCCACATTTTGTGGCCTGTTTGTAGCTGTGTTCTAATTGAAATGGACCACAAAATTGCGCTTGCCGCATGCCGCATGCCGCCAACTTCAAAGTTGGTCGCTTCTGATTGATGGTTATGATTGATGGAAGGAAGCCTTACCCAATCCTCAGTCTGCAATTCTTCTTTCATTTACGATACTTCTTGCCCGCAGGCAAATTTTTTGTTTTTGTTTTCTTTTGCGCTCCAATTTGAAACAATTGAACTTTGTCCCCAGAAGAAGAATTCTCCGGCTTGGTCTCTGCCCGACTCTCTGTCACATTCCTCTCTGCCAGTATCTGTACTTTGCGTAATTTGCATAAAATATGTATTGGCATACTCAAAGTCCAAAAAGTATCCACGACGAGATACAGAAACAGAACAGAAATGCGCGTGTGTGTTTTCATTGGCCATTTTCCATTTTGAATTTTGAATTTTCAATTTTCCAGTTGCAGTTCCAGTTTGGGCAAAATCTCAAATTTCCATAAAGCAAACATGGGAAGCAAAAGCATACTATACTCGTATACTCGTACTTGTACTCGTACTCGTAAAATTAAATATGCATAGGAATTGGCGATGGCGATGGCGATGGCGACGGCGACGCCGCTTGCAACAGTCTGAGATGGGAAGAGCTTGAGGTGGCTCTGGCCGAATTCCGCTTTACTTCTTGTGGTTGTAATTGTTGCCACAAAGGCACTGGTGCAGTGGCAGGCACCCACAAAGTGTGTTGTCATTGACATGGATGGTCTCGTCGTGGTTCGTGTCCGCAGCTCAAATGCGTTTTGCATAACATTAAAGCCGCTTTAAAGCCAAACGGAATTTCGTAAGTGCAAGCATTTTTCGCAAATTAAATTTCACTCTTTGTATCGGCACATGATTGCGAGGGGAGGGCGAGACACAGGCCGAAGCAGTGGCAGTGGCAGAGATTAGCTACGAGCATGCCACATGTTTCGTTTCTATTTGGTTGCTGATGCTCCCTGCCCCCCTAAGGAAATGAAGAATGAAATCTGTGATGACAAACTTTAAGGTTTATACTTGTTCATTTTTTAATAATAATTAATAGGCATACCGTAAGGTACTCGTGTGGTGAACTCTGCCGATCCGCAGTTGCTTAGGATGCCCCCTTTCTTCCAGCTTCCTGTCCAGCGACATGTGCCGACATCCTGGCGATGCTGATAGTGGATAGATAGGACATGGCCACTATATTTCGCAGTCCATCCATAGTGATGGATCTATTGGGAAACAATCTATGGAAAAAAGATCAGTTAGCATTTTATTTTTAGGCAGAATTTAGGCAGAGTTTTACTTCGATCTGTACTTCCCTGAGAGACCTGTATACCACATCGGCAAACCGGAGAGCACCTGAGGATCGTGACTTGGAAATTAGTAAACAAAGGGCTAGTTCGTACCTCCCCAAATAGCATACCCAAACGTGTCGTTTGAGATTATGGGTAGGAAGGGAGAGGGGACTGGAAGTACTTGTATGATGTCCAAAAATGGAAATGAAAGCATGGGCCGTGGCAGGAGGGGTTAGTTGTGGCTCGTGTCTGCAGTTTAAATGCGTTTTCCATCAAAGCTGCGCTTAGAGCCAAATAAAATTAGCAGTGAAATGACAAATTGAATTTCACTCTTTGCTGAACAGGGTTACAAGGGGGAGGGAGAGGGGGCAGGGTTAATGGCCATGCCACATATGTACGATGCGTATACGTGTTATTTGCAATTCCCAAAGCGAAACAATTTTGATCAATTTCTATGCAATTACTTACCATTGAGCCATGGCCACGTTTCTGCGAATTAGACAAAAATTGATTAATCAGCCAAAGCAAGCGGAATATTCATCATTTATCATTTGAATGGATATACTCGTATGTATGAATGGACGGATGGACGGATGGATGGATGGATTATATGCCTGGGGAAAGGTTTATGGTCCGTATCTGTCATTGGCTCTGCAAATTGTGCATGAAATATGGGCCCCACACAATATATGTAGAGTGATAGTTTCCAGCAATAAAGATGGGGAGATGAAAACACATCCTAAACATACGAGTATTGCCCGGATTAGTCATGCCCGATAGATACGATTGGGCCATATGCCGTTGAAAATTTACAGGTGAATCAGCAATGAGCGAATAGATTATGAATACGAATACGAATACGTACTTATATGCATATCGATAAGAAAAAAGACTTACAGGCTACTGGTTCTATCTGATGATTCAGATGGCTGTGATTTCTCACTTCATATTGAGTCATAGAACTTGTAACTTTCGGGGAGCTTCCCTGCTAAAGTACAGTACTCGAATCTCTCTCTCTCTGGAAGCAAATGATGCTCCCTAATTGAACTTGAACTTGATGTTAAGTGACAGCAATTGGAATATCTCAATTTCGTGTATGAATATTTGGGTCAATTCGTAAATTTATAGCTGGAAATATTTGTGTGGAATGCAAAATAAAGTGAATAATACGAGTAAAACTAATTAATCGCGTAATCATACAAGTACATAAGTACATATGTACACTGTATATACATATATACCGCACTTTGGGCTATGTACATTTAAAAGACCATTTATCAATGGCTGTTTTGTAATAAGTATTTAAATATTTTGAATATTCATGAGACCACAGAAAAAGCACGGCCAGTGGCTAGAAACAATTTGTTTGCCGTTCGAGCATAAAGATATTGAAAATCGATTAGTGCAGAGTGAACAGGAAAATCCACAAAGTGGAAGTGACACTGCCAGACACTCGGGCAGGCACCCCTTCTAGACCCGCATCATCTCTCCCCCCCCCACACTGCTCTTGGACTGTTGGCCAAGAGAGAACGCATAATTCTTGATTGGTGGCCTTAAGCGGCGGTGCCACACGCACCGCACGGACTAATCATCAATGACAAAGTTTCTGCACCGCCAGTGGCAGGTTGCAGTCTGCTGTGGCAGGGTACTGACCACTGACCACTGACCACTGACCACCATCACTTCTGGCCAAAACACTCAACAAGTTGTCTTCAATTAGCGCCAATCGCGGCACAACAACGAAAAGCAATTAAGTGACGTTCGATGCTCGATGCTCGATGCTCGATGGTCGAGGAGACGGCCTGGCATGGCATGGCCTGGCCTGGCCAGCGCGCTGGGTGGTTCGCTCGTTCTGCCAAGGCTTATCAAATATTTTTTAATTGAAATTTATTATTGAAAGTATCCCAAACTTGGTTATCATCGTTGGCTATTTTCCTGCGAGCGCCTGGGTCTGTGGTGTGCCTCTGGGCTTGTTGTTCGGGTATTTGCATAATTGCAAACACGTTAGATGACTGGTTTTCGGCAGGAGTATTCATCATCAATCCCTCTCCACTCACACTCCCAGATTTGCATAGTGAGTAATGCACTGCAAGTCGAGTGACGTGACTCAACGGTGTGGTGGTGGCCTCCAATTCCTGGTAAACGAGCCCCCAGCCGGACCTTAACTAGTTCGCAAATAAAGCGAATCAACACGCACTCGATGCGATCCCTGGCATGTCTGAACATTCTCCGGGAAACAAGTGCAAATTTGCAAGTATTCCATTTCATTTCCATCTCGTGTACTCGACATGTTCATTCGCATGTATGTGTATGGGTAGGTACAGATGTTTGTATTTTATGATCGATTTCGGGACTGTTCTGTTGTTTCCTTCTGTACGAAAATATAGCATTTATTTTGATCCAACATTGTGCTCTTATTAGTGGAGCATAGCCAGACGCAGTCGTGGCACTGACACATGTTGCGTTTTGTGTGGATATAGCTAGAATGTGCGAAAAATAGATATCATTTGGCCACATGTGGCGAGTGTAACAGAGGGGCAGGCGGGCAGGCTGCAATCATTTGTCTGGCATCATTTGTACAAGACTTGTCGAAAGTTTAAGTCGAACTATAATAGTTTTTCATATCTGAAAGATGCCAACAATTAATCTTTCAACAGCCATGATCTTACAGGGATATTTATCCAAATTTGAAGAGCTTTCTATTGCTGATATCACCCCAAATTTAAGTTATTTTTAATCATTTACATGGCGAGATACCACGTGCCAGGGCTTGCCCTCTTGCTGGGTCAATGTCGTGCTATAAATGGAGCTCCACTGGGATTCCCCGCCTATTCGGCAGCTGAACAAAATCTTTAAATTGCCATAAATTACAAGAATGCGAGACATTATGTTTGATACGGCTGCCACGACGATGCGATGTTGCGCAAACTCGCACCAGAGTCAAGTGCAGAGTGCGATCGAAGAATAGAATTAATGGGTCTGCCCTTTTGATGGGCCAGCATAAATCATTGCCCGAACGAAACGATTGACCTTCTCCCATTAAAGTAGATCATTTTGATTCGTATGTTTAGGGTGTTAACTGGGGTCTGCTCGGGTCTGTTCGGCTCTGGTGATTGTTTGGAGAACTGTGGATACGTACATCATGTAATGCCGATGTTTATGCAAAAATTGCTGCGTGCCAGACTCTGGCCCAGATGTTGCCAGCGAGGCGCCACCCACTCAATGCCAATGTCCAGAGCAGATGGTGGGCCCCTGGCCCCTGGTCACTGGGCACTGGCCACTGGCTGTGGGCAGTGGGATTCTATTTCCATTCGGATGTCATCTTTATTTTTAGCCCGCATGGATCCACCCTGTGCGTGTATTAACTGTTTTATAAATTCCATACATTCTCAATGGTTTGGATTGGTTTTATTTTTGCAGCATATCTGCAAGTGCAAAGTGATTGCCCCCTTCAAATAATTTGTATAATCATTCGCCTTTGTTTATAATTTGTTCATGGAATGGCCCGCTTATTTCCTCAATTTATTCCCGAATTTCATTCTCCACACAATGTATGCCAATGGAGCCACTTCCACTGTAAACAACATTCACAATTGTTTATCCCACTGAAAAGTGCAACATATTAAATAATAAACTGCTAAAACCACTTTCCTCACGCTGTGTTGTTGCCCCTTTGCTTCGGGCACTTCAATGTCTCTGTCAATAAATCGGAATGAGGGTACGGGAGGTACGGTGAGGGGGACTGGGGGAAAGGGGAAATGGGTCAGGCGCGCACAAGCAATGAAAATTCGGTGTTGTTTCTGCCATACTTTTTTGCAGCTTTTGTTTTTGCCTGCACTTGGAACGTATTATCGTTATATTTTATCGGCTCCCTACCGAGCAACAAGTTTCTCGAAGCTTGAAAGCTCTCGATTTACAGCTAAAGTCCTGCTGTAAACATTCGAGTTGTTGGTCACACTTGAACTTGCTTTTATTTCGATTTAACTCGGCTATTCAGAAAAGTTTTTTGGAAAAACTACTGATACATTTGGATAAATTAAAAGAGACGACTAAGGGGTGATTAATCTGTGGGCTGGGATGTGTGCGTGTGTGCTCCACGTAAATGTTTATAAAAAATATGGCCAGCAGACGTTGTGGATTGCGTCATTTGTTTGCATTGAATGTGGTCAAGATATTCTGATGCTTTTCTGTTGCTTTCTTTGGACCATTTTTCGTTGACTAAGCCGCAAAAAAGTAAACAATTCTGCTGGCAACATTTTCTGTGTTGAGCAACACGCACACACACACACACACACGCACACAAACGACAACACATGGAATGATTATCTGTGGCATGAAAATTTGTTATTTGAAACATAAATTTTTAGTTGAAGACGCGACGAGGAGACAGGGCGCACCCGCTGGGGGGCCATAAATTAAGTAGGCCAGAGACCCGATCTCTGATCTCATGCAAAAAAATCAGTGGCCATAAATTTAAATGTATTTATAAATAAGCAGAGCAGTGCAAAACATAAAACAAAACTTAAACAAAACAAAGTCAATAAATTAGCCAATTAAATAGTGAAACGTCGGAGATTCGCAAGAAAAACTCCAATTTGAAAAACAGTTTGAAACACGCGCCAAACAACGAGAAACAATTTGTTGCTGCAACATGCTGCTGTGAAAACATGTGACTGGCTCTCGAGCCGGCAATTTGCACAGAGAGGGAGAGAGAGAGAGATAGAGCCCCAGCAGAGCCAGAGCCAGATGTTTACGCTCTCTTTCCGGCAGCATCATCATCACAAACAGCACAGAGACAGCGAGAGAGAGGGAGAGAGAGGGAGGGACAGAGAGAGGGAGAGAGAGAGAGAGTAAGGGGGCTCCACGTTGTGCCGGCCGCTTGGCGCTTGGCGCTTTGGCGCTTGCAAGTTTTGCCATCGGTTGCCAACGGTTAGTCGCGATTTTACCCTCGTGGAGAACGCGCGCGTTTCCAAAACGAACAGAGCTTCTAAGAAAACTCCTCACCGAATTTCCGTTAGAAATACAATTGGCCAAAAACGAAACTTCTACTAACCGAACAAACAACAAGTGCACTCCCTCCCATCCTCCATTGTGCCCTCCACTGAGGAGTGTGAGTGTCTTGGCAAAAGTGCAGGTGAAAATTTCACTCGTGCCGGCTACCCATCTTCCCGCCTTGAGGAAGCCAATTTCCCCCGCTTCCAGCCAATCCGTGCTAATTGGCTTGATTTAGCCAAAAAATATAGTAAATATCAAGTTTCAATATTTGCCGTGGGCCCGCGAATTGTCTCGCCCAGAAAGTCACTCTAAACAGTCAGTCAGTCAGTCAGTCAGTCGGCCAGAGAGTCGTCCGCAGAGTCGACGTTGCGGCAAAAGCATTTTTTTTTGGCCAACGGTCTATTGAGGTCTTTGAATGTGGAAGTAGTGAGAAAGGCAGGCCCAAATAAGCAAAGCCAAGACGAGCAAAGACGGAGCATTCTGCGTATTTGCATTTGAAATTGTTTGCACACTTGGGAGCTTGAGGACCGAATCATCGAAGGTGAGTTTGTCGGTGTGAGCTAGTATGCGACATCTTTGGAAACTGAGAGTGCTCTCCTCCACGCGTATAATAATACTAATGTGTTTTTTTTTTGGAGTGTGTGCCCAAGTGAAAGCCAAACAGAAATGATGTAGTTGCTGATCAAATAGAACAATTATTCTGCAATCAATTATGGTTTAAAGAAGTTGAAATACTAAACTTATTTTAATTGAAATTTGTACCAAATGAATAGTATTCATCTGTGATCCTGGAGTTTCTTGAGAACATTTAACATTTAATTAAGTTAAAAATTCAAACGAGTTCAAAAGTGAAAGATATCTTATTCAATGTTTAATCTTCAGAGTCTTGTCTCTTCAGTGATCTTAAAATATTTTTCGAGGTGTTTTTCCAATATCTTAGGGGTAGATCCCTGGAGTGTTGGCACACTTCTCCACCCTCTACATTTCCCTTAGATCTGTAATGGTAAAATGTTCTTAATGCCTAGAGATTTCTTTGTTTGCTCATTTCCTTTGCTGCTTTGATGCATAAATTATTCCTTTCTCTGGTCGATAATGCCAGTTCGAGTTCGCGTTGTAGTCCATTCCATTCGGCAGGCAAAATTCTAATTAAGTGCTGGGACCTGCCCCAATGCTGTTGCCCCACCCAATCCCCTATCAATGGTGACCCTTTGATTGCCACTTGGTTGCTGTCTCTGCTGTCTGTGCTGCTGCGATGTTTTTTACTGCCTCCCTTGCTGCTGGTCCTGGTGCCGCTCTGCTCTGCTTTTTGTTGGGATTGTTAACAAAACTGTAGATTTATGTAGTAGATTAGCTCGTCAACACAAAGGGCAGTGCCAAAGGACATGGGGACATGCTCTTCATAGGGCCAAATCCGATTATTAATGAGCTGTCAGTGGGGCAGAGTCAAAGCGAATGGGATGGAAGAGGAGCGTCCGCACAGATGACACAACAGCCGGCGAAGGAGAAGGAGGGCTAAGCTCTGTCCAACTCTGGCTTACGCTTTCGGCCATCAATTAACGTTAATGTGGCAGCGTCACCGGTGTATTGCTGGGGTGCTCGCTAAATGTCCTTGCCACACTTTTGTCAATCACAAGTCGCGCTTTTTTTCGCCGGCCGTGCGATTGCATTTCATATTCATAAGCCGCCACTCTGAATGAGTGAATGAATGAGTGACTGAGTGTGACTAAACCGACAACATCCACGACAGAAAAGTATAATCGTTAAAATCGATTTGTTGTTGCGGGCTATGTTCGGTTGGGGAGGGGGAGGGGGAGGGGAGTTGAGGAAAGATGGGGCAGGCAGCGAGCGGCCAGTTCCAAGTCTCGAAGTGACCTTCAACGGAGGCAGGCTCCTCCGCCGCGGAGCGAGAGATTTTAGCCAAATGCACGAAGCGCTTTTTCGAGGGTCATAAATAAAACACGATAGGAATGCCGGATTTAGAGGGTCGTAGCTTGTGATACCCTTACCCCATTCTAATACGTCTAGAACTGAGTCTTGGGATTCGTCTAAATCTACGTGAGTTCTGAAGGAAGATAGAGAGCTATTGTATTCCAAGTTTTATCCGTTCATAGTTATGAAGAAACGAGTTGTTCTCACTGATCTTTCCCATCGAAACGATGCATTTTCTTAGCTTTCTTTTCAAAATCAAAATACCCTCGTCAAGGGTATCCCAAAAAGCAAACCGAATGGACCCTGAATCTGTCCACTCGCCTCTGGTCCGCCTCTGACCCTCCCTCCCATTCGGATCCACTCCATTCAGGTGCTCGACATGGCGCATATTTTTAGACATTTAGCAGAAACCACTAAAAATACATTTCTTTATTCAGTAAAAAGGAAAAGATACTTGTATCCCTCCCAAAAAAAGAAGCATGATACAAAAAAAAGGAAAACAACGGAGCGAAAGGGAGGGGACGGGGAAGGGGAAGGGGAAGGGGAAGGGCCATGCATTCAGGAGGAATATCATAAAAATGCCGAAATGCAGAAAACGAAAACGAAACCGAAACCGAACCCGAAATACAAGAAAATAGACATTAGCCAGAGAGCACAAAAGCCGATTCTGTGCCGGCCCGAAAAGGCGGGGAGTGGAGTGGATTAGTCGAGAGGGTTAGTCGCACTGGGGGCTACCCTGGAATATTCGAATGAAACGGGTTTGAGTGTTGATGAGTTTGATGTGAGATCTCAAATAATTCAAATAAATTCAAGAGCTATAAAAATCCATGTTGAGAGTCTTTTGCATCTTATCTTATCTGAACTTTCGAAAAAATATCTGCAAAATTAATTAAACATTTCTTATGCAAATATTTCTGCTACAGCCCTCCTCTGCGGCAAAGATCTCCCAAGCCTCCGTAGAAGCGCATAATGCTCTTTTCGTGAGCATAAAACCAAATGAAGGCAGAGGCAGAAAGACAAAATGATAAACTTCTATGTGTGTGTGTGAGGGGATGTGAGAATGCGAGACAGAAAAAAAATGACACATACACAAAAAAAAAGAGGGAAGGAAAAAAGCATTTTGGCAAAAGCATAAAAATAAAAATGAAATAAAATGGCATAAAAAATGCAACAGTTCTGTGAGATAAGCAAAAAGATAGAGGGAGATGTAGGAGCAGAAAAGGGAGAGGCAGGATAAATATGAAGAGAAGCGGAAGATGAGGCGGAAAGATACAGGATGAACGAAGTAGCAGGAGTCGACGAATCTGAATTAGAAGCAGAAGAAAATACATATTGTATGTGTACAAACGGCAGAAGAAATTGTGAGAGCGGGAGAATGGGGGACACGGAGAAAGCAAAAAAATATGCTGCAGGTAGAGTGGGATGTGAGAGACCAAGAAGAAGCAGGAGAAGATCTGACGATATCCCCAATTTTTGGCTATAAACGGAACTGAAACATAAGCACCTCTTCGCCCTCAGGTACTGCCTTACCTTATCCTTATAACACCTTGCATTTTGAGTAGATTTGCAGCCACACACACACACACACACATATACACGTATCCACTGAAGCTCTTTCACACTTGGATACTTTGCCGAATTTTAAATGAGTCAGAAAGAGAGAGAGTTCTCCTGCGATGAGGGGAGGACGAGACCAAAAGCAGGCCCCAATAAATGTCCTGTTGTCCAGCTCCGGCTTTGGGCTGCTCTCCTTCCTTCTTCTGGCAGGAGGACACTTGGCACGGTTTTAATGCTTTTGGCCAAGGTTAACACAAACACGAACACGGACACACGTGCAGAATCACACACACACACACACACACAGTTGTAATGAAGAAGAGGAGCCGAAGCTGAAGCAGAAGCCAAAGCCAGCACAAATACTCGTTGAAATGAAGAAATACAAATTGTATAAAAAGAGGCAGCATTTAAGGGGTGTGGGGTGGGGTGGTGTGGGGTGGGGTAAATGTGCCACAAAGATAAAAGCGTAAATAGAAGCGAGGCACGAAAATTCTTTTCGAAATTACCAACTGAAGAGGCTCGAAGGGGGCGGCGGAGGCCGGGTCGTATCTCTCTTTATCTGGCAAGGAGATTCTATTGAAAGTGCGAATGGGCACGCCAACCCACACACCTACACACACACGCCCTGCATATGTGTGCCTGTGGTTGGGGCAGGGTCTCAGACCCAGCCTTTCGACCCTGCCCCAATGTCCAGAGTTCGTGTGTGCCGTGACGTAAAGTTGTCGCCATGCCATTACCATTACCACTACCTTTACCGCTCTCCTGCTCTCCCTCTCTCTATAACTTTCTCCTCCATCTAACTCGCCCTTTCGCAAGGTGTCTCCCTCTCGCCCTGCATGGCTGTTTCCCTTCCACTGCCCCACTGTTTGCATGTGTGTAATGAATTTAAAGTTTGCCCCGCATACATTTTTCATACGCTGGCAAATTGTTATGGTTTTTGTACCGCAAATAACCCGCCCCACCCACTCTCTTTGCACATCCCCCTCTCTGCCTCTGCCTCTGCCTCCGCTTGCCCTTTCCCACCTTCCATTAAGTGGGTGTCGTGTGTCCTTGTTATCCACACGAGACATGATTATTAATTTGCAATTTCCGCTAATTGCATGAGAGTCGGGCGACTCCTCTCCTCTCCCACCGTGCCACACCTCACCTTCCGCTTTCACCCGCTCGGAGATCGTTTTGAAACTTATTTTCCAACAAAGTTGAGCCACATTCCTGCACGCTGTTCATTCTACAGACTGGTGCAAACAGATAAGACCCGATTAGATTAGCGGTCAACGGTTAGACATAAAAAAACATAGTCTTCCCAGCCCAGACGGGCTCAGCCCTCATCCACCCTCCAGCTCAACCCCTCCCTTGGCCGCCCAGTGCCAGGGCGGCCCACTTATGAGATTGTTATGGCTAAAAGGAATCTCTTGAAATCGCCTGGAATTTGCGTATTTTTATGCTTTCCACTTGACTTTTTATTTCAGCCCGGGAAAAATAAAGTATTTTAAGAAATCAAATGATTCGTTCGGTACAACCCGCACCGGGTTAAAAAAAAAACTAATTATTTCCATAATTAGTTTTTTGTGGAACCAAGGAAAGGTTAGGTTTCACCCATAGACATACTCCGTGACGTTAGTTTCCATGAAATGGTCAAAACTCGAACGATTTTTTTGAATACAAATGTTGATTAAATTAATTTTTAAAAGCTTGTTAATTGTGTGAGAATTTGCGATTTGATATTTCGAAAATAGAACCCGTTTTGTGGAAACTGTGAGCCAGCGAAGTTATCTCCCCTGCTTCCTCTTTGGCCTGGGCCAGTCTTTACCTTCATTTATCTCACTTCACGACGATCATCCATTCGTTATGAATTTTTAATGCCGCCATTACATGAGAGCCTCTCAAATTTGAATATTTATTTTGTGGCAAATTATAGGCCATATATTGTAATGAAAATCAATTTGAAAACAAACGGCCTGCCATTAAGATTGCAATGAGCTCTACCGGCGGTGTGGGGGGATCTCTAAGAGACTGGATTGGGGACTGGGGATTGAGGATTGGATTGGCTTGGCCAGATGATGAGGCGATGAGTATAGACATTGGCGCTTGCCGGAGCTGACGCCGACGCCTGTCATGTCGATGCATTATAAATTGTTGACATTAGCGGGGAAATGATGCCCAGACGACGTCGTCGATAGGTTTAATTTCGTTGATTGAACAGCATCGAAGCAGAGCAGCGACTGCTCAGAATGTTGTGCACATATTCTATCATCCACATTCTATATTCCACTTCTGTGTGTCGTGTATTTTTATAAATCGCCAGCAATCTAGCTGGCAATCTATTTGCTGTTGGCATTTGGCCTGCCCCGGCTTGAGGGCTCCAGCTTTATTTCCCGTGTTTTTAATACGGGTGGAAGGGCACCGGTGGGATGACAGGACAGCGTCCTTGACCCAAGGCCTATTCTAAGGCGAGCCGGCGGTAAAAATTTTACTCTTTCAGCTTTTTGTGTGGGCTGTAGGCGGCGGCATTGCGCATACGCCCCGTTGCTCAGACTTTGTTCAAACACAGCCAGTAGCAGCCACAGCCACTGCTACAGCAGGAGCAGCAGCAGCAGCAGCAGGAGTTTTCCTTTTATTATTCCATTAAATATTTTCCTTTTGAAGCTGCAGAAAAGGCATAACCCTAATTAAGTCGATGTTTGGCTTTCCAGCTGCGCTTTTGATGGGCCCCTACCGATTTGGGGGCTTTGGTTTTGCTCTGTGGGCTCCGATTGAAAGCGGATTCTCTTTAATAAAGCTGCACTGCAGCATCTTGTGGCACGGTGGCACACGCACATGCCGACAGTTTAGCAGTTAGCTGGGGAAACTCTCCTAACCAAATAACCGCAGCAGCAACAAACTGACCTCAGACCGGCCCCCCTCTCTCTCCACACTTGGGCACCGCTTGACAATTTCCATCGAGCGGCAAATTGTTTTCTTTTCTGCGGTTTTTACTCTTAATTATGCGGCAGTTAAGCGGAGTCCCGACCCCCGCACATGCCCTGGGAATTACCACGGATTTTAGCACTGTAGCATATAGCATACAATATATCTTCTTCGGGCGTTGGATTTCGCTGACTTTGGCATTTGAGTTCTGCTTAGATTTTTCGACGAGTCAACGTCTCCTCCGTTCAGTTCTGTTCTGTTCTGTTCTGCCCAGCACGGTTCTCTTCGGTTATGTTCAGACTGTCGCGAATTGGCGGTTCATTAAACTGAAGTGTCATTTCGGGAAGTGTTTCTGTCTGTCTGTCTCTTTTTTTTTTTATCTCTTTTACAGTAAGGGAGCAAAGTCCAAAGTCGTGAAATTATGTTGTAACAGCAAATGGGTTTGCATGATTTGTGTAATTTTCAAGAATTGTTCCAGAGAAGAGCTCAAAAATACATTTCACGGAATAGTTACACAGAGAGAAATGAGTGGGGGGATAATTTGAGAAATGTATATCGGTATATCGGATCATCCTTGAAAGATTATCCCCAGATACTACACTGTGGGAGATGACTAGACTGCTGAATCGATGACCATATCCCTAAGAATTTACTACGAACTTCCTACCCACATTTCGAACCAAAATTTGCATAACTTGGAATTACCTGAAGCTCGGGGGCCTCGACTTGGTGTGAATTACATCATAATCGGCTCGACTCGACACGGCTCGGCACGGCTCGTTCGCACACCTTTGAAGAGCATTAAAACCCAGTCAGGGCCCATAACAAATCGAAAAACTTTCAAATTGCGAACATAAAATCTGTTTTTATGGCTTCCCCCACACCGCAGTCGAATCGGTGAGATATGGCATCATTATAATTGCGCAGACACAAGCCGAAAAGAAAGCGGGTTCGACATGCAAAAATCGTTCTCGAGAACAATATGTTGAAGCCATATAAAATATGTTTTGGGTGCGTTGACGCCAGGGGTAGAGTCTCGAGGGGAGGTGGGGGGACAGCAAGGAACCACACGCTCGAAATGCCAATTAGGTTGGACGCCAAGGTCTCAAGTGCCACCAAACAAAAACAGTCGAAAAATCCGCAAGAGAAAAAAAAACTTTCGAGTTTATTATGCGTTCGGAATGCGAAATATACAAGATCATGTTGCCAGAAAAACAAACAGAACTATAGAGCGAACTGCCTGGAACCCAGCATTCCCCATTCCCCATTCACCCATCGCACGGTGCCCGGTCCCCCGGTCCCCTTATCATAAGCGATCGTGCTCAATGCTCAAGAAATCAAATAAATTATGTGGTCAGACCAACGAACGATAAACAGCGATAAAACTTAAAGAAAACAGAGCCCAGAAACACATTGTTGCCTTATGGGCTTTCATGTTGGATTAATGTCTGGGGACCCAGAACGGGGCAGAGCCAGAGCCAGAGTCAGAGCCAGAGCCCAAAAAGTTCACCAAAAAGTTGTCGCCAGTGCCGGTTTCTCTTCCGCTCAATCAGCGACTGTCTGAGCCTTCTGCCCTCTACCTTCCAGCTCTCCCTGCTGTCATTCTCTGGGTCTTGCAGAGGTAGTATATCATTTTTGGTGGGCTTCGCATTGATTTAATCACACAATCACACCAAACACGTTTGCCCTGCCCTGCCCGGTGTCAAACTATTTTTCTAATTAACCCAATCTGGTGGCAGGGAAGTGGCCATAAAGTCGGTCTTAAACCTGAACAAAATTAATCAACTTTGCTTATTTAATGTTGGCCACTTGATGAATTCGGCTTCCCCCCAGAATTAATGATGTAATTCGTCTGGGGTGGGCCTCATTATAAATTCTATTGCGTCAGCAAATGAACACGGCCGTAAATATGCTCAAATTAAGATGGCGAAGATGGCGCTGACACGGTCTCGATGAAGATGATAATGCTGATGAACATAATGGACCTACCTCAGTTAACCTGATAAGCATCCAGAGATACAGATACAGATATAGATAGAGTTCCAAGTAGCGTTCTCATTTCCGTCTGGCGATAAGATAAGACCTCCAGTCTCAAGTCGTATCTAGATATAGATGTTATCTTTCGTTTTGAGGGGCTTTTATCAGAAAGGAAACTTTAAGGTCAATTTAATTACCAGGAAATGGTGGGATAAGCAGTGATGAAATGGCTTACGAATACATATGGGAGATACAGCCAAGCGATGTCTTGGAGCTTGCACCCATTCAATATTGAATACATTTCCGCCCGCACTCGACATAATGTTCCAACTCCCAGAATTGTACTTCTTTCTCTCTCCGACTAAGCCCTCGTCCGATGGGGGCTCCACTTGACAGGCGAAATTAATGTGCATTTAATATGTTTTCAATTTCAATGAAAATACCAAAAATGTGGCGAAAAATTTCCGGCATAAATTGGCGCCGGTTTTTCACTCGCATAGGCACATAAATCTTTTCCAGTGCCTGCTGCCGCCCCACCCCCTGCCGCCTGTGGCGGTGCCATACAGAACAGCCACAAAAGCCTGTCCGCTGTTTATGCAAATTGCAAACAATCCAAGGATCCTCATTTCCCCCCCCCCCCCCCGAGTGTGGAGCAAATGGAATTCATATTTGCGGCCTGTTTGTTCCTGTTTTATTTTCCTCCCAATTAGAATTTTGGCCAATGATTTGTTGTGCAATTTAATGGGAAATTGATTTTCATCTAATTCGTGCATTAAATAATTTAATATTATTTATAATATATTTAATTTCGAATGTGATGTTACGCACACGCTGCGGGAAAAGCTAATTGAATCCAGCATCCGCCTGAGGCAGGTGCACAAACGGGCAGGTGGTCGGGGCAACAGAAGGTTGCATCAAATGCCAGCGGCTGCATTGGCATTTTTAATGCAATTTCACTTGCAACATGCTACCCCCCAACCACCTGACATAGCTTCATGCATATGTATGTGAGTGTGAGTGTGTGTGTGTGTGTGTAAAAAGTTCACGAAGCATTCTCAAGTAGAGGCGTGGCAGAAAGGAAATGCGAAATTGTTGCAAGCCAGAGCGGAGGCAAAAAAAAGATTGAAATATGTGCACGGAGCAAGAACAAAAAAAAAAATTTATGTAGTGCCCCATCCTGCTACGGTCTCACACACACACTCCCCACTCCCTGCAATCTCCCCCATTTGTCGCTTTTGTTGTGCATTTATTTTTGTTAGTTTTCATTTTCTTTGAGCAGCTGCCTTGCCATTTCCCCCACGGCCCCTCCGCCCCTCCGCCCGTCCGCTTGTTTGTTTAGCTGCTCGGCATTGCTAATCCAGTGCAAGAAAATGTTCCCGCTGCCATAGATTTTGCCGAGCATTGTCTGGCTGACAACAAGCCATTTGTTGCAGTTGCAAAGTGAGAACAAGAATGGGGAACACGCAAAGATCTCCGTCTTCAGCACGGAGCTCGGAGCACGGGGCATGGAGCAGACGCTTCTTATGATGCTTCTTATGCGCTTAATTTGAATTTGTTTAGCGGAAATGTGACAGCGAAAAAATTGCCAAGCAAACATGATGCTGATGGAGTGAAGTCTTTAGCGAAGATTGAGAGCCCCACATGGAGTGTGAAGTCTTGAGAGAGTGGGAGCTGATGGACTTCCGCAGCCTTGAGATAAGACAGAAGGCTCTAATGATGTGGTTAAGTTTTTCCATGCCTTCCAGGTTTTATGTCTAGAATTTCTGCTGTCTTTCGTTCTTAATAAATTGCTAAATTACTCTTTTCATTGCAGGTAAACGCTCATCCTCTGAATGCCAGAACTGGTAAATATTTGAACGCCACTCTCTCCCACCCGGCAAGAATTTCTTCCTTAAACTAAAAATAAGACAAAAATCCAATTCCATTCGATATACAAACAGCGGCAAAAATGTTGTGTTCGTTTGGCAGAAATATTTTCAAATTTTTTTTCATGCATGTTGATTTTGCACCCCGTCCGCCAGTGCGTATGTGTAATGCCATACATAACGCATACGCCGCGTGCACGCCACGCCACGCGCAATTAAGCAAAACAAAATGCGATCGCAGAGCGTTCATAAAAATAAATAAATGCCGCAATGCCGAATCACTGAAACACTGAAACACCCAAAAGCCGAATGCAAAAATGCGAAAACGCGAAAAAAATAGAAATAGTAAAAATTAACTCTGAGCATAAAATATTCTCAATTTAACGACGGCGTGTGCATAATAAATAAATTTCAAATTTGCACGATAATTAATAAACAATCCATTGGGGAGTGGGGCAGAGGATAGTGTGGCGGATTGTCGGATTGCAGTGGTGGGTGCGCGGTCGGGGGCGGGGCGGTGGGGGGGGCGTGTTGCAGTCAAACACTTGACCATAATCAGTCAATCAGCCAGAAAAATGGGAACGTTGTTGTTTCACTTTTGGCTGTCCGGACAGCGGTCCGCTAATGAAGTTGTTGTGTTTTCGCGCTGTTTGTTTGCCTTAAAGTTGGCTACCCACGCATATATGTACATATTTATCTGCATGTGTGTGGATATAGATATAGATATAGATATGTATGGCTGTTGGCAGCTCTGTGGACGCACAACCGACTGCAGCTTTGGTCGAAGTCAATTAGGCGCATCAATTTGCTTTGGCTTTGGCTTTGGCTATGGCTTTGGCTTTGGCTGTTTAGAGCGTGCGGGGGAATACAAGCCACATGTCGAATAGCTAATCAGACACTTTGGGGTCATTTACAATGCAGATTTCAATGCAGACTTGGCTGCCGGGGGAGACCGCTGGCAATGCCCGAGGGAGATCCCAGTACCATCTCTCGCTAATTGCCTAATTTTCGATTAAAATTATTCCATTATTAATGGAGTTTCAGCTTTTGTTTATCACCAAATTGTAATGATCTCAGCTCTCAGTTCTACACAACTTATTTGTGCTCTTTTCTCACTCAATTACGAAAATATCTGGATTGTCAGAGACTGCATTGCCTTTGGCCTCCATGCACTCGCCAATTCCATTTCCATTTCCATCTTCATCTCCATATCCACATATCCACTCGCATTCCCATATCTATCCATGTGCGAGCTGACCCAGTTAAGTGCTGGAAGTGCGTACGAGTCGGTCGGTACGGTAGGTGCTGCCGGTGCTGCTGCTGCTGCTGCTGCTGGCTAGCTGGCCGGAGTAGGCTGCTGTTGTTGAAGGAGGTCAACAATGGAGTGCCACTCAATCCACAAAAACACTGTGCGAGAGCCGTCGATGAGCACAAACAACAGCAAAAGCTACAACAATCAGAAGAGAAAGGAGGGGAAACGAAACCAGCGGGGGGAGAGAGCGGGCTAAAGGCAAAAAAAAAAAAAAATATGTCGGCAAAAAAAACAAAAAAAAAACGCAAATTGCTGAAATCCCTTTTGGTCCCCGCATCCAAGCGGCAGACTGTGAGGCGCAACAGCAGCATTCAGACTTTGAGGCGCCAAAGGGCTGGGACTGGGGGTCTGAAAGCTGGCCGGAAAGGATACGCTTGTTAGCAGCGGAAGTGGCACCCAGATAAGACAAAGATGGAGGCAGAGACAGAGGCAGAGACAGAGAGAGATACAGAGAGAGCGGCGGCCATTGTTGCCCATTGTTCGAGGGACATTGTAATTAAACGTTTAATGCGATTGTTGCCGCTGCTCTCGAGGAGTACGAGTGCGAGTACTCTCTAGTACTAGCTGTTGCCGCTCTGTTAATTGGGTCACTCTTGGAATGAATTTTTAGCGTTTATTCAAATCGTTTGCCTCTTTCGGCCCTGCAGCTCCATAATGAAGATGTTTCTCCCAGGTTTAGCCACTTAATTGACTTTCATTTCTGTTGCCCTGGATAGTGGCTGTTGTCTGTTGTCTGTTGGTTGTTGCCTGTTGGCTGTTGCCTGTTGGCTGGGCTTGTGTCCACCTGCAGCAACTCAATTAAGTAGCTTTCAGGGGAGAAACTTCTCTCTGCAGTGCTTAGCATTCTGCATAATTTGTGGGTCAGTACAAAAGCCTCTACAACAATAAATTGCAGTTAAATGGAAATGCTAGAGGATTTTCCCTCAGGAGAATGCATTTGGTTAAGGGACTTTCCTTTCCTTTCACCATGGCAAAGGCAATGGTGCTTCAGTACTTTAGTATTTATCTTGGCCTCTTCAGGCCCCTGATTGACCATCAATTGGTTGGCTAATCGTTTGGCTTTTAATTAGGTTATGTCCTGGGAAAAGGAAACATATTTTCCGCTTCTCCCAAGTTCGGTGCTGGGAAAAAGGTCTCGAAGAACAAAGAAAAACTGCTGATAACTAGAAGAAGAAGGACATTTCAATTTCCCAAGGATACAAGATGTGGGAACAAAAGTTGAAGCACGAAAACAAAAGCGAAGCGTGGAAAATACTTATTCTTTATTCTTCCTTTCGGTTGTCAACATTTTGGCAATTTGATTAAGTCCAATTTGTGCGACGTTTTACTGCCACGCCCACCCGGGGAGATCGGTTTATTTGCGCTCAACTTTGCAGTTAAATAAGACAACAAGAATTTATTCGCCCAACTTTTGCTGGGTTCCCCGGGTTCCCTGGGTTCCCTGAGTTCCGTGGCGTGTGACGGGACTCCCAGAGTTCTATTACGAGTATGTGTGTGTGTGTGTGTGTGTGGGCGGGAAATTGTGATTCCATTAGGAAAAGTCTGCAACTCAAATGTCATTTAAGTTATTTGGCTGGAGAGAGTGTTTTAGAGGGGGTATGCCCGATGCCAGGACCAGGACCAGCTCCAGGACCAGGACCTAACTCCACATCCTTTTGGGAGCATGTTAGCTCGGAGCTCGGAAAAACTCGGCGCTGGAACCGAGACAAAACATTTGCATGGCAAATATAATTACAAAGAAATAGAAAATGCAATTTCCCATCACGTACCAGCACGAGTATCTGTGTAGGCGAATGAATATTTCATCGATCGACTTTTGGGGCCTGCCTATGAATATTGCAATTCAATTTCCATTTTGGGGCCGAATATTTTTCGATATAATTATTGGCAAATTGAGCCATTGTCGTAATGGATCTACCGCAGGCTACACACACACACACACACCAGCACACACCAGCAGATAGAAGTACAGTTGTGTACAAATGCAGGCAGAGAGACATGCAGGACATGCAGAACATGCAGCAGCAGTCGTAGTCGTAGTCGTGTTCACTCAAACTAATCAGTTGTTTCAATATTTGCCCCCAAAGGCGAAGGCGAGCAAGGACAAAAGTCATCAGAAATGAATGAAAGGGTTGCAGGGGTAATGGCATGGAGTGCAGACAGGAAACGGAAACAAGCGACCAAGAACAACGGAAGCGCATCGCATCGCAGTGCCGATGCCGATGCAGATACGAGAAGCGGGACTCCCGTTCCCCCCCACACATATCGTCGATTAGGGAAGGAATACTCGTACTCGTATACGGGTACAGGACTAATTGATTTTCTCGCACCCTCAGGCGATTTCTGTTCGAAAACACGCGGACGAGTAGGCTCCAGTCTTAACGATGGGGTCTCCGTTCCACTTCCACTTCCACTTCCATTGGCAGTTCCATTACTTTTGTTGATTTAAATGCGTTTGCATAAAATGCGGCTAATTAAAACTTGTGGATGGCCCACTCCATGGCACGCTAAAAAGAAAACGGTTAGCACAAAGCGAAGAAACCCGCCGCAAAAGGGAAAAGGGCGCAAAAGGGGAAAGGCAAATATGAGAAAAAAATAAATAAAAGAAACGAAAAGAGAAAGAGAAAACCAACTTCAGTTGGAGGGAAAAACTTATTGAATTTTCATGAACTTTTACGCCCATAAGAGCGGAAGGCCTTCTCCATTTGCGAGGCTCAAAGGAGACTACAACGAGGGCCGCAAATGAATGCGGATAATCGACACGAAATGTACCCTGAAACCCTGAAAAGAAAGCGAAATTAACAGATTTATACGGTTGCTACTCACAGCAGGAGCAGAGGTTCCCGGATCCGTCAGGCCTTTCTTGCTTAAGAAGTTCCCACATTCATTGTCTGGCTGTTCCGCTGTTCCGCTGTTCCGGGGACTTCCGCTTGGCCAAAAGAGCCATCGCTCATTGCAGGTTGAATAAATAGCAGCAGGACACACGGCACCCACTCCGGCAGCAGGACATGGGGACATGGGGACATGGGGCGGCGGACGATTGTGCAAATGAGCAATAAGAAAAGCCAAGCTCTTGGGCTGTTAATGCTCGCGCATTAAAATACATAAAAAGCAGCCCCGAAAGGCAAAAAAAAACGAAAGGAATTCAGAGAAAAAAACGTAAGGTTGTTTTGTGGAGAGGCGGCCCCCCCGGACATGGTCCAGTGGCCAATTTCTTGGCCTCTTTCTTGTGCTGCCTGCTTTTGCCATCATCAGGGCCGGGCCGAGCCGGGCCGCCATCAGGCATAATCAAGTCGCTGCTTAAGTTTTAATTTTTTCTTGCTGCTGTCTGCTGTCTGCAGATGTTAATGTTCCATTAAAGACGCCGCAAACTTCTCAGGGAGCGAGTACCAGTGCCAGAGTTATTCTGCCCGGCGCTAGCCGGCAAATGCCATTCGCCATAAACAAATCTCGAGTGCTCTTCCTACTTCCTGCTCAGTTCGGCGTTCGGTGCTCGGGTGTGTGGATTATAATGCTTGTAGGCCCGTGGGCTGTGCCTGTGGCTGGGGCTGTGGCTGGGGCATAAATATCCCAAACTTACGGCCCATAAAAATCAATTCCCCTACACATATACGGGAGGAAGTACCACTAGGGGGAGCTATGTGTTCTGACGTTGGTCTTTTGTTTA